TGCAGGGAGATGTCCGCGGGTGTTTGGGTGAGGTAGCTGTGGAAGTGGTGCCAGAGTTGTGGGATGGAAAGTTGTCCTGGATGTTGCGGGTAGAGGTGTTGGAGTATAATGTCAAGGGCACGGCTGGTGATACGTAGGAGGTTGCCGGTAAGTGAATGAAAGTATGAGATAATGGTGCGGCCTTTCTGCCAGTGCTTTTTCTCCTTGAGGTGAACCACCCCATAGGGAATGTTGAACTCCTTGCGGAAGCCCCACTTGTAGCGGGTACGGAGGATGGGTGGGACCGTGGCTTTGAGATGGTCGTGGATGTTGGCGGCTGTAAGGTGGGGAAGTGGTTCAAAAAGTTCAGGGGATTGCCATGTGTTCAGAGCTCCGGTGAAGTATTGGCGGGGGCAGAACAGTCGGAGTTGTTGTAGTTCATGGTCAGCATGGTGAAGTACTGTGTGTGGGCCGAGAAGTTCTTGGAGTTGACGGAGCAAACGAGCTGTAAAGCGGGTTTGTTGTTTGAGATGGGTGTTGTGGAGGCGCCATTGGTGCGCGAGGAAAGGTTCCAAATGCTGTACGAGGGATGGTGGTAGCCCTTGGAGCTTGAGCCACTTCGTGTATGCCGTTTGGAAAGTGAGGAAGTAACGGGCCTTGCTGGGGTAGTAGGTGCTATTCATGTTGGCGTTGAGGAAAATGGTGAGGTGCGTGGGAGTTGTAGTTGGTCCAAGGTGAGGATGTAGTGACCATTGGTGGTGGGTGTGTCTGGATCTTGGAGGAGAGTGCGAAGGTGGTTGCACGCACATGGGAGGTCTGCTGGATCAGGTGGTGAGTGGAGAGTGTCTTCCCAGGTCCGGTGATTGTGGAGCTGGGATCGTAGGGTCTTGTGAGCTGCTTCACGCATGCGATGGGATGGGAGGTGAAGGGGTATGGCCAAATGCTTGTGCTGCTGGATGGTGGTACGGAGCCACTGTTGGCAGTGTTTGGTAAAGTCATCGTGCGCCAAGAAAGGCGCTGTCAGCGGGATGTTCGGTTTGGGTGGTGTAAGATTGCGATAAAGCAGGGCTTTGTTGATGATGTGGAGAGCTCTGCTGCGGCCTGGTTCTTCGAGATTGGCGGCCATACGCCGGATGGCGTAGACTTCGAGGTCGGTGTGGCGACCGCTGCGCAGTTGTTTGGCTGCTTCAAAGGAGGCGGCTGTGTGTTTGGTGAGGTTGCGAAGAAGTGTGAGAGCATGATGTTTGGTGGAAGTGTAAAGGTGTGGCTCTCGGATGGTGTGTTGGCGTTGCCGCAATCGTCAGAAGAGGCGTTTGTGTGTGGCTAGTCTGGAGTAGAAGTGTGCGCGATGTTTTGTGAATTGCCATCCCTGGGCTTTGAGTTTGAGGTGGTGGGAAATGAAAGGCCAGTTGAGTGTGGGCATCCAATTGGCAATGTGGTGGTGTTCTTGGATCCAGGCTTGATCATAGGTGTCGTGGGACGTGAGCTGGATAGTGGTGTAGTGGTGAATATTGTTGTGGGAGTGCAAGTAGCGTAAAGATAGTTCCGCTGAAATTGGGATGTTGTTCTGGAGTTGTTTGAGCTTGGCGCGGCGGTTATGCTCTCTGTGAGGGATGCCAATGGCTGTAGAGCCGACATAGAAGTGGCCATGCTGGTGGTAACAGCGATGTGGTGGAATGGGGTTGAAGTGGAGTAGATATACTCCAACACCTCTACCCGCAACATCCAGGACAACCTTCCATCCCACAACTCTGGCACCACTTCCACAGCTACCTCACCCAAACACCCGCGGACATCTCCCTGCACGCCACCAACGACGACCTGGTGGGCTTCTTCAACTCGGTTCCCCAGCATCGATTGATCGATGCAGTTCACTCCATGATTCACCACTGGCAACAACAGCAAACCACACACACCCTCACAGTGGATGTTCACGCCACCGGCAACCCCTTCCACCACTCCCACATCGGCCGACACCACCAGAAACATCCCACACAACGCACCATCCAGACCTCTGACGTCACCACCATTGTCGCCTATGCACTCAACACCTGCATTTTCCGGGCTTGCAATAACACCTACAGGCAAATCCGAGGAGCTGGGATTGGCTCCCAACTCTCCCCAGCCCTTTGCAATGCCGCCATCACACTCGTTGAACACTCCTGGCACCAGATCCACAACAACCTACTTCAACACACGGACCTACACTTTACCTACTACCGCTACGTTGACAACCGATTCATTGTCCACAATGAGCACTTCCTCCGCCACCCAGCCATCCAAACCCTTATCCACCACAACTTCTTTGGAGACCCAGTGGAACTTGAACCGGTGGATGACTTTCACCTCCTAGGGTTCAACATTGACCTCCAACAACGCACCATCACCTACATACAACCTTCCCAACCCTGGAAAATCAGGGATGCCACCACAGCAGGGAGCCAGCGCTTGGCTCTGTCAGGCCTTCACACTATCCACAAATACACCTTTCCACCCTCAAGCGCCGACGCTGCTGCCGCCGAGCTAGTGAGGCTTTATGTCCAAAAAGGACACAACCAGTTCGCTTGCCACCGGTTTTTGAAAAAGCGCCGATCACGGCGATCTGTGTGTGTCACCCCCTGGGCAAAGGGTCCACCACTGCTGCCTTCCCACTTTCACTACTGTTTTCTACCGCAATGAAAAGTTCCACCAGCAGGGGGCACCGGAGGGGCTGACGAGACCGGTGCTAACAAAGACACTCATCAGTCACCTGTGATACAGTTGGAGACGTCCGACTGCCTACCTGCGGAGTTTTTTCGCAAGCTGCCACTCCAATTTTCTGTGGTTTGCTTCCATGGTGGTTTCACGATACTTTCCCCAAAACCTGCTCGTCCCCAGCAGCTGCGCCGCCAGTTTGATTGCCGCCGCCTTGTGACAACAATGTTTAACCTTTCAAGTGATTGGACCCATGCACCTTTCCGTTCCCTCGCCTTCCTTCTCAACGTGGGAATCGAGATAACTGAATACAATTGTCAGAGTGTGTTGTTTTCTGTGTCCACACTCAATGTCGGCGACTATATAGCGAGTCTCATAGGGGTCCTGAGTTGGAAAACTGTTCAAACATTTGTTGCAGGTGGAACGGAGAAAGAAAAAGAAACACAAAAGAAAAGCATATGTTAAAATATGTTAAACCATATGTTTTAAGATATGTTTTTTGATATACATCTATATATAAAGAAAAGAAATCGGCAAAAGAGAAGTTGAGTTTCCCAAATAAATTTGGGTTCTTCAAGGAAGAAGCTTCGTTAGTTAGCCCTTACCGTAAAGTTTCTACGACAGCTTCTTACTACCTTCTTGCCGTCTAATTACACCTCAAACAGAAGAAGCAACTGTCTAAAAAGGTTTTGTTTTGCCGCCAGGCTGCGATATTCGTTCGGGGGATGTGCTCATCAAGGCTCTCTTCTGGAGGGCAAGACAAGAAGAAACACACCAAACTTCTATTGGACAAAGCGATAGATAGACAGATGCAAAAACAAAATGCGCACAATTTAGGCAGCTGTCGAAGCTCAGACAAAGCAAAAGCAACAGCATCAAGTAATAGAAAAGTTAAAACGTGCGCAAACAAACACACACAAACACACAAACAGAATTAACGGCATGTTGTCGGTGAACTGTTTGTCGTTGCTTTCTTAGCTAGGTGAATGATCGTGAAGGACGGCTGGAGCTGATGACGGTTGAACTCAGCAAGCCCAATTCCAAGCTGAGCAGATCGTTTTGATGAGGAAAACGGAAGAGATAAAAACGGTTTTGTATTTGACAAAGAATTAGAAACAAGAGAACTGTTCAAGCGGAATACAAACGGCACACGATCAACAGTTTAAGGTCTTGGAAGCGCTTAATCGTTCAAGTTACCAACATCGTTAGCCTGTCGTACACAGTCGAAAACTGTGATCCTGTTAGCCTGTTTGCTAGCAAAGCTTACCTCGTTTCCAACGCTGCAGTCGTTGTTTGCTATTTGATCCTTGCGTTCGAGGCCATCAATCGTTTGCGAATTTCAGCCCCTGGAGCCACGAGACTTTGGAGGCGGACATCGTCAGTTTCTTTTTTGGGCGAAGGAACAGGAACACTTTCGAAATATGCTAAAAGAAACTAGGCACGTGAAGGGAAGAAGAAACAGAGAGAGAGAGGGAGAGACCGCGTCGCAGAAGAGGTTGTTCAGCTTGAAGAAGGCTCTTTCAAAGAGAGACACATAAAAGGAAGTGGAATGTTTGAGAAGCATCAGTTGTGGCTCTTGAGGACCGGCGGATGTCTCCAACTCAGATTCTACTTCGACTGCTGTGCTTCAAAGGTATACTTATGTATGCATTGCATTGCATTGCATTGCATGGATGGATGTATGTTTGTATGTTTGTTTGTAAAAATATAGAGAGAGAAAGAGAGAAATGGGGTACCGGTGTGTAAATGTAAAGTATATGTGTGACCCTTCTTCAATTGTGTGGTCCGCTAATTGAGTATTGACGTCAAACTATCGTGATCATTTAGATTTGTTTGTTGTGGTTTCAGTTGTGAGGCGTCCAGGAAGGAAATGAGGCAAAACGTATAGATAGGTGCAAGCATTGCACTGGTGGGCTAGATGAGGGTTTGGCACATTGGGATTGTCTGAGCCGGGAGTACAATGTGTTTGCTTTGTGTGTGTAGTTTGAATTTGTACTCAGGATTCCATACTGTAGATTCCATACGAAACTGCATTGAAGTTCACAATCAATGCTGGCTGACGCTAGCCGCACACTAGCAAGATGCAAATGCCTTTGGAGCCTGTCCTGTGATCCTGCACCCCAATCAAGCGAAAACACTGGTCGCTATGCAGAGGGATCAATAAGTGTGGTTGCTCAATTTCTTTCAGAGCTGCAGAGTGGTCAGAGATGGAGATCTAGATATCGACTTGATGAAAGGTAGTATGAATTATGGATCAAATGTTATGAAGGACATTCAGAATCTCAGCTCAGAGAGCTGATTCTCGACCAACCGTCATACATACGTTCAGGGTCCGCCTGCAAAGTCAGCGCTGGAGCAGCCAAAGGCAAGTCAGTTGCCCATGATAAAGTGTTTTGTGCTTTGTGTGTTCATGGTAAGAAAAATGTGCATAGGCCAACGTAATTGATGTTTCGGAACGCATGTGCTAAAGGGCCGCGTGCTACGAGGTTTGGCTGGATTTTGTTGCCAGAGCCAAAGTCAGCGCTGGTCACCGAAGTGCCAAAGGCACAACAGACTTGTTGCACAGCGAAAGGTGTTCAGGGTTTTGCGTTTAGAATGGATAGCTACAACATGGCAAAAGATCTTTTGACCTCTTTTCACAGTGAGACGAGAGCAGAAGGTTTATTGCATTAATTAGTCTACTTGTGAGATATCTACTTGCTGGAGTACCTACCCATAAGAAACAAACACGATGGACGTTGAAGGTTAGTGAGAGCTAGACACACACATGCTTGGACCTTCTCAATATGCCGTTGAATATGTGATGTTGTTGTTGCAGGGTCCGCCTGCAAAGTCAGCGCTGGAGCAGCCAAAGGCAAGTCAGTTGCCCATGATAAAGTGTTTTGTGCTTTGTGTGTTCATGGTAAGAAAAATGTGCATAGGCCAACGTAATTAATTGATGTTTCGGAACACATGTGCTAAAGGGCCGCGTGCTACGAGGTTTGGCTGGATTTTGTTGCATTTGCAGGCCACACTGCCGGAGCCAAAGTCAGCGCTGGTCACAGAAGTGCCAAAGGCGCAACAGACTTTGGTGCACAGTGAAAGGTGTTCAGCGTTTTGTGTTTGGAAACGATAAGTTTGGCTTATCAGTGTGATAAGAAATGCAGCGTTTTTGGGTTGGCTGAAATATGTCTTTATTCGCACCGCGGTGGCGCGCCTGTCATCGATGGATGCTTTTGGTGGGTTTCCCCGTGGCATTCGGAAGGTGTTCTGACATGTTCTGACCACTTTCAGACCAGAGGGGGGGTCATTACGTCGTTTTCACAGCATCTTGCTTCCAACAGAAAGTTGGAATCTAGATATTTTAAGAGTTCCGATGAGTTCCAACCTATGAGAGCAGAATTAGCCTTTGGACGTGGCCCAGAGAATAACAGTTCTTTTCGAGTTTGGGCTTCTAGTTAAGGGTTTCCAGGAAATGAACAAAGTAGAGGTAAAAAGAAGTGGACACAAAAGGATAAATGACAAACAGAAGCCACAATGTCAATGAGGCTCAACAGCATTCAACGGCTTTGAAACTGTTTTTCCCGACTGCGTAGCGAAGGGTTCCCGTTTATAGTTGGGGGTCTGGGGGTTGGAGCTGTGTTTGCATGGCTTGCGTCGTGTCGTCGTCTCTCGTCGTTTGCGTCGTTTGTCGTCGTCGTCGCGTCTCAAATTTGCTGCCATTGGGGGAAGCTTTTGCAAGTGACTTTTCATGGATGTGTCACGTGTCAGTTTGCGCCGCTATTCCATTGTGATTTGCATGACAATGACATGTCGCGCAAGAAACGTGATGCATTTCGCTGCACAGGCGCAGCGTTTTGTGAGATCTGCAGATTGCTGCGCAGTTCCATTGGGATTAGCGTTTGGAGAGTCGTGTTTTTGGGGTGTTGGATGTGGCCGTGCCATTGGGATTGGCGTTTCAGGGTGTGGCATCGAAGCTCGGCTTTCGTGACAAGTCTCAGCTGAAATGGCGATTTTGGTGGATGGGAGTGTGCTCTGAACGGGTCGAAATCATTCCAAACGTGTGGTGTGGTGCAAATTTTGTTGAGGCTCACATGAGATGATATTGTCACTTTTCGTGGCAGGCGCAGTAGTTTGTGCGTGTTTTGAGGTGTGGAAGTGCGATTTTCGTGGCAGGCGCAGGGAATCGTGAGGTTGCGAGGTGTGACGGAGGTCACATTTCGTGGCAGGCGCAGTACTTTGTGCGCGTTAGACGTGTGGACGCGGAAAGATTCGTGGCAGGTGCGTGGAAGCGTGAGGTTGTGAGTCGTGGAGAGAGTGTCTCACAAGAGTGTCCCACAAGAGTGTCCCACAAGAGTGTCCCACGAGAGTGTCCCACAAGGGTGTCCCGCAACAGTGTCGCTCAAGAGTGTCTCACAAGAGTGTCCCACAAGAGTGTCCTACAAGAGTGTCGTGTAAGAGTGTCCCACAAGAGTGTCCTGCAAGTGACCCACAAGAGTGTCCTACAAGAGTGTCTCACAAGAGTGTCCCACAAGAGTGTCCTACAAGAGTGCCCCACAAGAGTGTCCCACAAGAGTGTCCCACAAGAGTGTCCTATAAGAGTGTCCCACTAGAGTGTCCTACAAGAGTGTCCCACAAGAGTTTCCTGCAAGAGTGACCCACAAGAGTGTCCTACAAGAGTGTCCTGCAAGTGACCCACAAGAGTGTCCTACAAGAGTGTCTCACAAGAGTGTCCCACAAGAGTGTCCTACAAGAGTGTCCCACAAGAGTGTCCCACAAGAGTGTCCCGCAACAGTGTCGCTCAAGAGTGTCCTACAAGAGTGTCTCACAAGATTGGCCGACAAGAGTGTCCTACAAGAGTGTCCCACAAGAGTGTCCTACAAGAGTGTCCCACAAGAGTGTCCTACAAGAGTGTCCCACAAGAGTTTCCTACAAGAGTGACCCACAAGAGTGTCCTACAGGAGTGTCCTACAAGAGTGTCCCAGAAGAGTGTCCTACAAGAGTGTCATTTGGACATATGTAGTTTTTCGAACGTGTTTCCATTCGGGTTCGTGGGTTCCATCTTGTTTAGTGCTGTAGGAGGTCTGAAACAAAGTGAAATAAACAAAATTGGGATCACGAGGAACAATGAGTCCACCGAAGGTCAAGCTCAAAGCCAGTCCAAGTCTGAAGCACTATGCAAGTCTGGGGAAAGACAAGAATCAGATTGAGATGCTTTTCATCCACCCCCCCCGCCACTCCTTTTCTTTCTACCTATTTTTCCTTGGTGCTTTCCTGTCCCTTTCTCTATTTCCTGCCATTTACTTACGCTGTCCTTTCTTGCTTCGCGGTTACCTTCCCCGATTATATACAATGTCTCATAATCAATCCTCTTGACACACTTGCCGACAAAGCCTTATGTTACAAAAAATTGTCTGATCTTTTTTGATCTCTTTGCAGAGTGATATTGTACGAAAGCAGAAGGTTTGTTGTACAGAACAGGAACCATTCATCAACAAGTTGCATTAATTAGTCTACTTGTGAGATATCTACTTGCTGGAGTACC